GGCGGGCCCGGTGGGGCTGCTGTCCGGCCATGGGAGCGGGCAGGGAGCCGGAGGGGACGGACGGGCAAGCCCTGGGACGAGCCGCCTGATCTCTGGGCTGTGGAAACTCTTTGGTTTGGGTTTTGTTTTTATATCTTTATCAGTCATTTCTAAAAAACACGTCAGAGCGGATTCCGGAGCTTGAGCAAGGCTGGTTTAGGTGGTCATGTACCTGAACGTACCAGCGCGTGTATGTTTAAACTAGAAGGATGGTCTGGGAGTTTCTGGCTCTACGTTTTACAGCAGGGAGCCTCAGGGCAAACCCCGGAATGGTTTGGGTTGGAAGGGACCCTAAACACCGTCTGGTTCCAGCCCTCCTGCCCGGCGGGGCTTGCTTGCCATAATGGAGATGGGCAGGGTCATCTTCCTGTGTTGGTAAGGGGGGAAACAAAAGGAAGTGGTGTGAAGAAAGTGTACCCACTGCTGTAACAGCTGGGGAAGCAGTGGTGTTTGGGAGCACAAAGTTAGTAAAATCTGTACAGTCTTTTCCCTCATAGGAAATGTCTGTCTGACAACAGCAGGAGGATCCTGTGCCATCTCACTTGTACTCCCACAGCTCCTCTTAAACAAAACCAACTGTTCAAACTCCAAACTCTGCTATTACTCATCATATAGTATTTCTTATGTGTGTTTTGAATACTTAGGAGCTCAGGTGGGAGTTAGGGATGTGTGATCAAAACAGATCTGATCATTTGCTATGTAGCTTCCTGTATTTTAGAAGTCTTTGCTAGCACGTTCTCTGGCTCCTAGCACTACCAAAGGGGAGCACTGCACAGATGTAATAAGCCAAGACTGAAGCACACAAAGGGTTAACACTGCTCGGGGTGGTGCATGGTTGGGTTGCCCACAGGGCACTCTGTTCCAGGAGGATTCTGCTGGAATGTGACAGCAGCAGAAAAGACCTTGTGCCTGGATTGTGTTTCAGTGGTGGATTTGGCCTGAAATTCCGTGTTGTACTTCTTGATGCAACACAGTAACTTTTAAAATCCATGTTGTTGTTTCCTACAGCTGTATTACCAAGTCTTGAATTTTGCCATGATCGTCTCCTCTGCGCTGATGATCTGGAAGGGGCTGATCGTGGTCACGGGCAGCGAGAGCCCCATTGTCGTGGTGCTCAGGTGAGTCCAGAGGCTTTGGCCTGTTCAGGGCCAATCATTGTTGTGCCCTTTGCCTCATCCCCTTCCCCCTCGGGTAGATTTGGAGCTTGAAATCTCACCTCCTCAAAGTGCCCCCCAGCCACATCTGTTCTTCTTGCTGGTTTTGCACACCTGGCAAACACTGCTTTCCTAGTTGCAGCACAGTTTCCACTGAAGTTGGTAGAAACAGTAGATGTTTGCAGCCTTCAAAAATCTGTATGCTTACTTAATTAATGGATAAACTGCTACTTAAGATTACTTGCACACGCATATATTTTGCTACCAGGGATATTAATTCCGGGCCCGGTGGGGCTGCTGTCCGGCCATGGGAGCGGGCAGGGAGCCGGAGGGGACGGACGGGCAAGCCCTGGGACGAGCCGCCTGATCTCTGGGCTGTGGAAGCTCCTTGGTTTGGGTTTTGTTTTTATATCTTTATCAGTCATTTCTAAAAAACACGTCAGAGCGGATTCCGGAGCTTGAGCAAGGCTGGTTTAGGTGGTCATGTACCTGAACGTACCAGCGCGTGTATGTTCAAAATAGAAGGATGGTCTGGGAGTTTCTGGCTCTACGTTTTACAGCAGGGAGCCTCAGGGCAAACCCCGGAATGGTTTGGGTTGGAAGGGACCCTAAACACCGTCTGGTTCCAGCCCTCCTGCCCGGCGGGGCTTGCTTGCCATAATGGAGATGGGCAGGGTCATCTTCCTGTGTTGGTAAGGGGGGAAACAAAAGGAAGTGGTGTGAAGAAAGTGTACCCACTGCTGTAACAGCTGGGGAAGCAGTGGTGTTTGGGGGCACAAAGTTAGTAAAATCTGTACAGTCTTTTCCCTCATAGGAAATGTCTGTCTGACAACAGCAGGAGGATCCTGTGCCATCTCACTTGTACTCCCACAGCTCCTCTTAAACAAAACCAACTGTTCAAACTCCAAACTCTGCTATTACTCATCATATAGTATTTCTTATGTGTGTTTTGAATACTTAGGAGCTCAGGTGGGAGTTAGGGATGTGTGATCAAAACAGATCTGATCATTTGCTATGTAGCTTCCTGTATTTTAGAAGTCTTTGCTAGCACGTTCTCTGGCTCCTAGCACTACCAAAGGGGAGCACTGCACAGATGTAATAAGCCAAGACTGAAGCACACAAAGGGTTAACACTGCTCGGGGTGGTGCATGGTTGGGTTGCCCACAGGGCACTCTGTTCCAGGAGGATTCTGCTGGAATGTGACAGCAGCAGAAAAGACCTTGTGCCTGGATTGTGTTTCAGTGGTGGATTTGGCCTGAAATTCCGTGTTGTACTTCTTGATGCAACACAGTAACTTTTAAAATCCATGTTGTTGTTTCCTACAGCTGTATTACCAAGTCTTGAATTTTGCCATGATCGTCTCCTCTGCGCTGATGATCTGGAAGGGGCTGATCGTGGTCACGGGCAGCGAGAGCCCCATTGTCGTGGTGCTCAGGTGAGTCCAGAGGCTTTGGCCTGTTCAGGGCCAATCATTGTTGTGCCCTTTGCCTCATCCCCTTCCCCCTCGGGTAGATTTGGAGCTTGAAATCTCACCTCCTCAAAGTGCCCCCCAGCCACATCTGTTCTTCTTGCTGGTTTTGCACACCTGGCAAACACTGCTTTCCTAGTTGCAGCACAGTTTCCACTGAAGTTGGTAGAAACAGTAGATGTTTGCAGCCTTCAAAAATCTGTATGCTTACTTAATTAATGGATAAACTGCTACTTAAGATTACTTGCACACGCATATATTTTGCTACCAGGGATATTAATTCCTGGATAGGTGTTAGGATTCCAAACAAGTAATTCTGTTGTAATAGAAGTACGTGTAAGCCTGTGAAGCTCTTGTTGTGTCTCCTGAAGAAAATCAGTAAATGTGTTGCTCTTCCTGAAGCCATTGAGTGCTTTACGGTCTATTTGTTAATAGATTTTTATAGTATTTAATAGTTCATGGTTTTTTTACCATCTATATATTTATTTTAAAACTGTATTACAGTAAAACTCCTCTTATGATTACATTGTACCTGCGTGTTGCTTCTCTCGTGGTGGTATCTTGCTTCAGGTGTGTAAAGAGCCCATCCACTACATGAATTGAAACACGTGCTGATGGAAGAGTCAGCCTTACAGGAAATGAATGTGTGTAAGCAAGGAACATATGCAGTGAATAACACTATTTTAATGGGTGTTGTCCCTGTTATTAGTTCTGAGATCTGGAATCCTACCTTAAAGCTTGTTACCCAGAGGTACTATGGCTGAGAAAAGGCACGGAGGGTCATTGATAGTAGTCACTGATGTAAGCACAGCTCTTGCTCCTGTCAATTAAACTCCTTCTTTGTGGAGAAGTACTTGTCCTGGGAAACCTTGTTTGGCTTTTCACTAATGGATTGATTTTCTGAACCAGAATGGCTCATTCTGGTCCTGCAGCAGCTGCAGTGCTGTCAGGTGCTGTGTAGCTGCTTGCTTGCAGGGAGGCAGTGCAGGAGTCTCCTGTGGACCTTGGGACCTGCTGAGGTTTGGGTTGTGATAAACAGTGTTATGGAACAGGGGAAGCTACAGATGGCAGTGAAATTTGTGAGTTTATCTGTAAGAATTAAATGTTCTTTGTTTTGATGGTGCTTCTTGCATTTACCATGCCACTAACAAGCTCTGTTTCTCTGTTTGCAGTGGCAGCATGGAACCAGCTTTTCACAGAGGAGACCTCTTGTTCTTAACGAATTTCCACGATGACCCAATCAGAGCTGGTGAAATAGTTGTTTTTAAAGTTGAAGGCAGAGACATTCCAATAGTTCACAGAGTAATCAAAATACATGAAAAGTAATGCAACTTGGCATTTTCCTTGTTTCTAAGTACAGTTTCTTTCACTGTGACTTTCAGTTACATTTTTATGTGGTAGTGTTCTGTGAGAAGGAGCTGTGGGGTGAAACTCTTCTCTAGGATGTGATCCACATTTGTCCCTGCTTCTGTGGCAACACTTCTGGAGACTCTGGCTCAAGCTGCTGGGGTTGGGAGCAGGTAGATGTGCCCAAGGGGACACCAGTGACACCAGCTGCACACGTGGGTTTTGCAGCAGCAGCCACGTGTGTGGGAGCAGAGTCTGCTGGCTGCTGTAGAACTGGGGCTTTGGTTATGAGAAATAGCTACTTCTGAAAGCAGATCTAGAAAAGAAGATGAAGGCTGAGTGACCTTAGAACTGTATTGCAGTGTTAGTGACAAAATACCGAATTTGGTGAAGATTTGCAGCTGCCTTAGAGGATGTTCAAATTTATTTCCATCAGAAGGACAAAACTTTATTTTGACATAAATATTACTAAGAGTTAAACAAGCGTATAGAACTTAAAATTGCCTAAAGCATTTTAAAGGAAGATTTTTAGGGTCTTATCTCATCTGAAACTTGTAATTTAAATTCAGCTAAATGAATTCTCTAATGTGTGATGACTTCACAGGATCTTATCCCACAATTTTTAAAAAAGGAAAGAAAAAGACAAACCAGCTGCAGAGTTTTATTCAATATTTCAGAGTTAAATCTCTGTTCTGTTGAAAATGCAGAGGGTTAGGGTTTGTTTGGTATTTTTCTAGGTAGGCACATAGTGCTTTTGTTGAGTAAGTTTAATGCCTGCTCTGGAGGGACAATATCCCTTTCATGTCTGTTGTATAATGACATGGCAAATGACAATCTGGGAGTGGTTTGTGTAACATTTCTTGTTCCAGTCTGTTGACTGTCAGTAAAGTCTGCAATGTTTATGATTTAATGGTGTTTGGTTAAATAAGCAGGACTGGAAGTAAACATTGTTATCTAATCTTCTAGCACTTTTCATCATCATTGTGCTTTGTAGATGTTAATTGAGGTTTTTAATTGAAGTGATATTTAGTTTATCACCTTGTTGCCTTCTAGAGAAAATGGGAACATCAAATTTCTGACTAAAGGTGATAATAATGAAGTTGATGATAGAGGCTTGTACAAAGAAGGTCAGAACTGGTTAGAGAAGAAGGATGTTGTTGGAAGAGCAAGAGGGTAAGTAGTGCAAAACGTTTATGTTATTTGCAATTAAAAAGATTTTAGAACTTAAAACCTGTTCTGCTGTTGGTACAGACTAGATCTGGTACAGTATTTTTTAATTTCTTAAATAAAATTGTAATTAAAAAAAAAACAACTGAGAAAGTTACTTTCTTTAGACGTCTCACTGATGTGGAGAGAGTGGAAATTTTTTTTTTTTTTTTAAATGGCACATTTAACCAATAATCTACCATGAAGTACAATTTTAACCAACTTATTCTTGTAGTTGCTCAAAATTACTAGGAAATAATTTCCATGTTTCACAGAAATTTTGTGCAAGGCTTGAGCTTCTGACTTTGTTCCCTGCCCAGGTGAGATGAAATCTCTTAAGATTTTTCTCAAATAACTTTATTTATCTAAGGAACAAAAATAATAAATTTTATTTCCCATTCAGATTTTCATTAATGACATTATTATTTTGCACTAAAATATTTAAGACTGAGTGACATCAAACATTTTTAAGTAATATTTGAGGGTTAATTTTGCATTCCTCTGTGTTGTCAATCACAGATTTTTGCCTTATGTTGGAATGGTAACGATCATCATGAATGACTACCCAAAATTCAAGGTATGTAGACTGATACTTCCAATGCCTGAATGTAAAACTAAAAAAATAGCAAGTAAAAATATTAAGAATCTTGCAGATAAGAATACACATTAGGAAAAAAGATGTGTGTGGTTTGGTACCTCATGTACAAGGAGCTGTGTTTTCTTGCTCATTTGAACTTGTCTGATGGACAGTTGAGCTTGGTGATCCTTGAGGTCTTTTCCAGCCATGACAATTACGTGATTTGTAGTAATTTGAAAACATATAATTTCTAGGAATGTAATAAGTTTAAGTGTATACAGTCATGATAGCTATTTATGATGAATATGATCACAGTAAACTATTTCTATAAGTCTGTAGGAACACGGCTGTAGTTGTGTGCTCATCTGGAAGGTGTAGTGTGGGAGAGGGCACACATTGAACAATTTGTACTTTCAGAACTTCTCTGAAAAGAAACTATGATCAGTCTTTGTTCTCTTTTCCTTTTGCAGTATGCTCTTCTGGCAGTAATGGGAGCATATGTCCTGCTGACACGTGAATCCTTAGAACCACCATCAAAACCCGGCCACTTTTCCAAGTTAAAAATACAGGGGAAAAAATTGATATGTTTCAGGTGTTTTCATTTCTGTATATAGTTACAAAACTGTGTGACCTTTTGTCTTGTCTAAATAAACTACAGCTGATGACTAAAGCCTTGGGCTGTTGGTTACCCACCTATCAGCATATTCAGTTGATGCTGCTTCCCCCTTAGACTTTTGCTTGTGGAGGGGACACTGCCTGTGCCAAAGCAGCTGTGGCACAGCTCTCGGACCTGCTCTGTGCTTGTCCTTAGGTGGTGCTGCATCTGGACCTGCTTTTCCCCCTCCTGCTTGTCAGTTTGTTGGGCTGGATTATTTTTAACCTCTCTCAGTGCCCTGCCCTCCCACAGCCACACCAACTGTCTCGGCACGTGTAAGGACACAGCCTGTGGGCTGGATCAGGTGGAGAGCTGCAGGGGTTCAGTCAGACTTAGCCCAAGTTGTCTAGATATGGCTGACAGCATAGACAGGAAAAAGGTCTTTCTTTCGGATTAAGAATGGAGACGTGGAAACTTGGAGCTTTTTACCTGAATTTGAAACTTGTTCCTTTGTGTTGCAGGGACAAAAGCCCCGATGGACTGACCTGGAGAGGCCTAATTTTTAGGGACCGTGTGTGTTTCCAGAACACAGGCTTTTAACTGTTCTGTCTTTATCTTCCAAGCTGTAAAACAAACCTAACAAAAAGATTGTCTGGGGCTTTATTAAACACTTGCAGATGACTGAATGAATAGCACGGTAGTGTGCTTCAGCAGTATTGCCTGTAAGGGGAAGACATAACTCCTCCAGTTTGAGAACGTATTGTTCTCTCCTATCACATGGTACTTGAACAGTATGAAACATAAATTTGATTTTTCATCTTTAAACATACCTGATAACAGTTATATGAAATTCTGGATTTTTCTCCAGGCTTCAAATGTCAATGTTGTACCTTCAACAAAGCAGAACTTGTTTTCCTTGCTTGCTTGGGTTTTGTAGCTTTCATAAGGAACAGCATGATGGTTTTTTCCTACAGAGTGTTGTTCCTCCTGTGATTCCTTACTTCTACAAAAATATACTGTTATACAATAATGGCACTACTTCTGTTGTAGCAGCTAGTGCTGAAAGGCAGGCAACTGCTGAATTTTTCCAACTAATATTACTTCTTTTGTGTCCTACTAAGCACTTTTCATGTCTTATTTTGTTTCAAATTGTGTAGAAATAAAATTGAGTATAGTAAATGGCATGTCAGGATAATTTAGGTATCCTTAATGCAGACTTCCCGAAAGTGTGCCATCACAGCTAAGAAAAAATAATTTGATTTTTGGAGACAGTGCATCTGTAGTAAGATTGATAGATGCAGATATCTTTTTTTTTTTTTTTTTTTTTTTTTTTTTTTTTTTTTTTTTTTTTTTTTTTTTTTTTTTTTTTTTTTTTTTCCCACCCCAGTAGTGCTGAAATAAGGATTTATTCCTACCCCAGTGCAGTCACAGCCAGCTCTAACTTAGGGAGTGGGGTTTTGGACATAACCCAAATAACAAATTCAACACATCGTGGGAATTTAGTCTTTTGTTGAGGAAACAGGGATTAGGAAGAAGATGCAAGGATAACATCTAAATATGCAGGTTCATGCTCAGTAAAAAACAAACAAACAAAGTTGGCCTTGGTATAGGCCAGGGATAACTAATAAAAAGTGAGTTAAGATCCTATGTATTTGGTGCCTCAAGGTGCTTTCCATTGTCTACAAATACAACTTCTTTCTTCAAAGAAAGCTGCAGCTTCCCTGTGAAGTCAGGCCAGATCACAGATACAACTGGCAGATCTGCTGTCATTAGCTGCATTGATTGTGGAAGCCGTGGTAACTTCTCAGCTCACAGGCTGCTTAGCCATCAATACTGCCTGGAAGGACAGCTAGCGTGGGTGATGGCATGAAAGACTGTCACTGGAGAAAAGAAAAGCACATTGTAAAGCGAATGCCTCCATCCTAGCAAGGCCTCTGGACGACTGCTTTTTTTGAGAAGGCTAAGATGCTGCAGGCACAAGCAGTATGTTTTTAACTGGAGAGCTGGGAGCAGGAGTGCAGGCTCTGGTTGAAGCTCTTTGCTTTTTCTTTCTAGCTACCTGCCTTGTCACAGCTATGCCCCGGGCAGCCAGCACCATGCAGAGTGACCGGGCATCCTGGGGACCCCTGAGCTGGGACACAGGTGAGGGCAGGGGCAGGTCCCCACAGACCTGGCAGAGATAAAGGGAGTACATGGAGTAACTGGAGAGACAGCTCCAGTTTAAGCCTTGTTAGCAAGTCATTTCTCTCATGTTTAATCAAGACAGCAAGCAATAGCGATGAAAAGGACATTTTCCTTTGCGTGGATGGATTTTATCCATGTTTCTTGTAACATCTTAGGGGCCAAAAGCAAACAAAACGTAAGCCACCCACATGACAAAAATTCAATGTCTCTCTGCTACACAGCTTGGCTTAAATAAGTGTATTTCATCTTTTCTGTCATCCTGTTTGCTCCAGTACACTACGTTTGTATATTGAACCAGCTCCGCTTCTGTCATTTGCGTGTGAACGTGCCACCAGCAGAAGCTGTGTTTGTGTGCTGAACACAGTCCCTATCTACTTGTAGATGTATGGAGAGCTTGCGTGGACATGCCCATCGCCTGAACTCAAGCTGTGTGACTGTCTGAGCTCCACGAACAGCAGCTGTGCCGAGCCCGGGGCTGCCCACAGAGCCTCCCGGCTGGACGCGGGGCTGCTCACGGGTGCAGGCCGGGCTCTGGGGCCACCCGAGGGCCTGTCCTTTCCTCACCTGCCCCTGTCCTGCTGCTTGTTCACCACCTGTGCTTGTGCCATGCAGGCTCCTCCAGCACGTACGGTGTTTATAAATCTGGCATCAGCTATTATATGTGGAAGAAAGTTGACATCGGGGCAACAAAACTTGCAGTTTTACATCCCTTCAATGCTTATTTTCCAGGTTGTTGATGCCCTGTCCCTGCAGGTTTTTAAGGCCAGTCTGGATGAGGTTTTGTGCAGCCTGGTCTAGTGGTGGGGATTCCTGCTCGTGGCAGGGGGGTTGGAGCTTAGTGATTAAGGTCCTTTGCAACCTTAATGATTCTATGATTCTATGTCTATGTGACTTTTAAGCATGTCCAGGGATGGTGATTCCACTGCTTCCCCAGGCAGCCTGTGCCAGGGCCTGACAACCCTTTTTGTGAGGAAATTTTTCCTAATATCCAGCCTAAGCCTCCCTTCATAGAACTTGAGACCATTTTCTCTCATCCTACTGCTTGTTCCTTAGGAGAAGAGACTGGCACTTGCCTCTCTACAGCCTCCTTTCAGGTAGTTGTAGAGAGCAGTAAGATCTCCCCTCAGCCTCCTTTTTTTCAGACAAACCAGGCCCAGCTCCCTCAGCTGCTTTTCACAAGACTTCTCCTCAAGACCCTTCACCAGCTTCCTTGTCCTTCTCTGTACCCACTCCAGCACCTCCATGTCTTTCCCCAAAACTGGACACAGTGCTCAAGGTGCAGCCTCACCAGTGCTGAGAACAGAAGTGCTTCCCATCTCAATTCCCAAAACACAGAACCTCTCCCCCACAAAACCCAACGCGCTGGCTGGAGCAGCATGCTGGCACCCGGTCCACCTGCAGTGGGAAATCCATTCAGTGAAGCTGCAACCAGGCACAGGGCTTCCTAACATGCAGCACAAACACTATCAAATATGTGCTTTATTAAATAAATGTTTATTATGTTGTATTATTCAGCCTCTGTAAAGTGGAGCTCCACTGAAAAATGTCTTCAGTTCTTCAGGGAACTGTTACTGCAAAGAGTCAGTTTTCAGGTTGTTTGCAGAATGCCTGCCCAGGCCACAGCTCTGGAGCACTGGAGATTAGTCTAGGCAGCATCTTCAACATTTACAAAATATTCCTTGGTGATAGCACCCTGTTATTACATTGCTGATACGCTTAAGCCATTGTTTGTTCTCTACATATATTATAGGTGTCTCTAACGTCAGGATCACTACAAAGAAAACGATGAAAGGCACACACCATTTTTCTTTTCTCTCTTTTTATTTCCATACAATCTGCTTTGCTGATAGAACAATCACAGTTGCCTAAAATGTAAAGGAAACAAAGAGTGTTATTGTGATAGAAGCATTAAAAACCCATTAATGTTTTCCTGCCATGGAGTGCAACAATAGTTCTCTTTGCCATGGAATATATGAGAAGTAGAATGGTATTTTAAAATGAAGGGAGCTGCTTCCTGATGTTCAAGCATAAATCTGTTACTGGATTTCTTCTTTAAGAAAGAAAGGTTGTCTCCAACAGAGTCACTCATGGTTGATAAAATGTGTTTGTTGTACCTGGATCCTTTTCTGTTGTGGGGGATCCTGTACATTATTTCTGCGTATTATCAAATTACTATTTTTCTGAAAAGATTAATAAGATCAAGAATTAGAATAAATCCACATTACTTTTTTTGTCCTTAAGAACAATAAAGAAATGCTAATAATGCACGGATGCATTCAAAGGGCTGGGTCCTCAGCAGGGCTGAGGAAGCGGCGCGAGGCCGAAGGAGGGGCCCTTGGGAGGGGTCACTCACCCCAGACCCCGGCGCTGGGCGGTTTTGGTTGCAAAACTGATGGCCAGTCATTCTGTCAGAGGGAGAGAATAAGAACGCCCTGGTAGATGTTTCGATCCCCAAAGTCTCGTAAGCATCTCACCAGGGAGATAAAAGCCTGTCTATATCCTGCAGAGAAGTGAAGCGGAGCTCGTGACGTGTCCGGCACACGTCACAAGTCATGCACTAGATTCTGGGAAGTCGTGCAGCCGAGGCCTTGGAAAAAGACAAGCCTGCCTCCAGCACTCCCTTAGACATGTGTGGAGCCTGCTGAGAGATCAGTGTCAGGTCCATGACTGTGGGTGTCCGTTCTGTCTATGCATGAATCAAGACTTAGGATTAAAGATCTTACTGGAGTCTCTTTCTTTTGGAAAGTGTAAGAATAAAGTTCCATTGAACACACTCAGTGAAGAGAGAAGGCTCTCATGGCAGTTGTCAGTATAAAAGCAAAGGTAAAACTACAAGAGAGAAACAGGCTTTTAGGGTTGCTTTAGTTTGGGGACATTTATTATCTTCCAGAAAAAGAGAAAATACTCAGAGAGTTTTTGGTGGTGGTTTGCTTCAAATAACCCAGTTTGATTGTTTGGAAGAATTAAACAGATTTTTTTAGTTTGTTGTATGATAAAACCCTGAAAATATGGTTTTCTTGGCAAAAACACCCCTGCACCCAAAAAGCTAATCCTTATTAAAAATAAAATTCAAACGCAAATTTTATCTATTCTCAGTATTTTTCTCTGTAACTTTAGCCACCTAAAGGGCAAACTAATTTAAACTTTCATTAAGTGGGTAATACAAGGTTTAAAAATGGAGGTGTATAAGGAACAATCTCAAATAGTGAGTAGCTCAAGGCAGTGCAGATCTAGTGTGAAGGCTGAAGATGAAACTAATACATACAAAGGATGAGAAGGATTTCTTTGTTTGCATATTGTTTGTGAGTGCACTGAGTCACTGTTCTTTGGCCATCACCAGCCAAAGCTGGCTCACAGCACAGGCCAGGACAGCCAGCAGGCTCCCTCGGCAGACCCTGTAGCTTAGGAAAGCCAAATATTGTGCTTTGGGTTTGTTTTTCTGGAAATGGACAGTTTCCTGCATGTTCAGTTTCTTGCCTTGAATTACCACGAACAATGAGAATTTCCCAGGGATGGCAGCATTGTGTCTGATCACTCAGCACTGAGCACATCTTGTCTGTAGCTGTGCTGTGAAAGTGAGGACTGAGGCAGGAGAACACTATTGTAAATTAAACAAGAATGCATAATTAATAACCAAAATAAAAGAATGAATCACATTAATCAGTAAAAGAAGATGCAATAAACTAAGATGAAACAAGAGAATAATTTAGCTCATACAGTAGGATACACAATTGACTTCAAAAGGGATTGTACTAGATAGTTTGCCCCATAATTATGCTAATTTGCCTCCCTGGTATCTTCCATTGGGCACAGTTCACTTCCAGTTGTGCTGAGTTAGCTGTAGAACCTGGCAAGTCCCTCCCAGTCAGCTCTGGTAACCGTGTATCCTAATTCCTGTTGTAGCTCTCTGGACAGCAAAAGCATCCCATGAACTGTACCAATTCCACAGGACTCCCTCCCTGTCTCTGTTCTCCCTTGGGACAAACAGCACCTCAGGGCTCGATGTCCTCCCCACTACTCCCCCCACTGACAGGCCTGAAGTTGAATGTGTTTAAACCTTCCAGGTGCTTGGAATGGCAGAATCAGAGAAACACAGAATGAGAACCACGGTTATTCGTGGCCATCACAGCCCTCCAGTGTCTCCAGTGATTCATCCACCCTCTCCCCTGCACTGCCTCTCCAGGACGGAAATCTTTTCATCCATGGACAGTTCCAGGTGCCCTAGACTGCTGGAAAGGTCACAGGGTCTCTGTGCAAGGAGAGAAGACAACCTTGTCAATGGGTCACACTACTGTCAGCAGCACAGTACATGTATGTGATACTGGAAATAAAAAGCCCTGCAGATCTTCTGTTTCAATGAGCTCCAAGTGATGTTGTGCTTTGAGTTTGGCTGCTTTACCCTCATTCCTCCTGCTTAAAAGATGCTGGAGCTTTTTCTTTTTTTTCCATAAGCTCTTGTAAAAAAAAAAAATTCAACCTGTTCGGTTCTCGAACCGGCCCTGAGAGCCCCTTCCCGCGCTCTGGAGGGAAGATCCATTCCTTCCCATGGCACCTTCCCCCGAGAAGCGCTGGGGTTCGGGCGGCAGGCGGGGGGGCAGCCCGAGCCCCGGGGCCGGCACCCCCCGCTCCCCC